TGATGGAGACAAAAGCAAGGAGGTCCCAGGAGGGAACACCGTATCTTCTGTCGGCTGCGAGTATTTTCTTCAGCTTCCTCCATTTTCCATCTAAGAATTGCAGTGCTCCATTCATCTAGCACGTCATCCATATCATAACATGCATCTTTGAGCTTGTCTACCCAATCTCTTACAGCCTTATCCTTCACTTGTTTTCTATCTGCATTTTCAAGGACAGATTGGATATCAAGGAGATTACTTTTCACCTTGTCACATTGTTTCTTCACACCCACTACTAGTTTCACCTCTTCTTGTACCTATTAGTGTACAAAGGAAAAGAAACGTTAAGCATGGGAAACATTTCTATGATTTCAATACAAATTCCTAATTTTTAGCAATTAATAGAGTAAATCATTTTTATTAAACTTTTTCTCAGTTGCAATTAATATATTTATATTGTTAATTATATTCAAATTATATATAATAAACTGTCTAAAATAATATGACTCGTAAATAATGTAATGCTAATGCACAATTATTGCACTAAAATTTGCTAGATGCGTGAATTAAATTTTTTTTTTGAATAAAGGATTTCATTACATAAAAGATAGAATTCATAGATATTATAATTGTGGAGCGCAATATATACATTGCAATTTCACAATATTATTAGGTGACTTTTAATAATTATCATAGTCTATTTTTTAAAATATTCTGTGAGGTTGATCAAAATAAAAAAGAAATATTAGAATTTCTATAATCATGTTTGTAATCGAATATTTGACTATATTTATTTTAATCATTTTATCATAAAATTTTTATTACAAATATAGTTATTTATGCATTCAAATATCATAAGGAATTATTGAAAAAGGAATTTACTACTATTTTACTATATTGATTTGTTCTAACCAGCCATCACAATGACCATCTTTTGTATAGCACAAAAGATATAAAGAAAAAGAAAGAAGAAAGAGAATAGTAAGAACCCGCTAATAGCTTCTGACTAAATTAACTAATATATATATAAACTAATTTTATTTGATAACATGCAATGTGACAGTATATAAATCAAGCTACTGATTTAGCTTCTGACAAATTAACAGATATTCTATAAGATAATGAAATCAATGTATTGTAGAAAAGTAATTAAGTACCTGTTGATTATAAAAAAAAGAAAAAAGAAACAGAAAAGAGTACCTGTCGAGCAACGATCGTGGTTAACTGCTCCAAGATTGGGGATACAAGTGCGTCAGCCATTGTTGTTCTTGCTATTGAATGTGTCAAGAAAAAGGAGAGAAAGTAATGGGGGGTTGTTGACTGATGAAATGAGAAGTTGATGAAGATAGGAAGGATAGTGATCTACTGTGGAGTGCAAGAGAAAATTAATTTGAGGTTATTCTCAATGAAGTTTAGGCAATATATACCGCAAATTAAGATCATTTGCTTGAGACTGGGGTTAGAGTATGATTCTGAACTTCAGTATAAAGCAACTAATTTCCTACAAGGTTGATGCAAGCAAAGAATGTCACGGAAACAATGAGAAAATATGTGTAAAAAGGAAAAGGAAAAGGCGAAGGCAAGTCTAGAATTAGCCATTGCTTCACTTTGGGTTCAAGTATAATGCATCAGTCATTTTCCTATTTGTATGTTTATATAGAAATGACTTGTCATTTTGAGTTCCAAAAGTGAAACGCCTGGTGACTGGATAATCTAAAGCTTGATCTAAGCTGAGTTTTATTTCAAAAATTGTTTTTGAATACTGATAATGACTGATTAAATCTGACATCGGGTTAACTCAATCTAAAAAAAAAATAATGTTATTTAGAATAAATTAATTTAACCGGATTAATCTAATAATGTGCGGGTTGACCTAGTAATTCAATAATCAAAGTCTTAAATCAAGTCATACCCGAAATGGTCCAGCAAGAAATATGGTATATTTTACTCTTTGGATAATGATAAACTTTAGTGTTTGGGGTTTAAATCCTGGGGATAAGTTTCTTGTTGTAAATTGCAGAAAATAGTTAGGGTAAAATTTAAGATAAATCCTAGGAAACACATTCAAAATGCACTGTGTACTGGATTCTCAATGTTTATTTTGCAGTTTGGCTTGCACTGTACACCAGATTCTCAATGTTTATCTTTCCTTCACTTTTACTTGCACGATCTTTTTTTTAAAAAAAAAATTATCATCTTTTTTTTTCAGATCTTTTTTCACTGTGTATCCATTATTTGCTTGGTTTATATTAATGTATCTCTAGTCATACTCTTGTATTATAATCTCCACCATTATTATTATATATTGCATTATATATATATATATATATATATATATATATATATATATATATATAGTTGTT